CTTGCCTGAAATCCTAAGGCATTTATTGATTTTTGTCCGGTTTTATTGAGATATAACTGACATATAGCATTGTATAAGTTTAACATGTACAACATAATGCTTTGATATGTGTGTGTATTGGGAAATGATCGCCACAATAAGTTTAGTTACATCCATCACCTCACCTATTTACAATTTTTTTCTTGTCATCAGAACTTTTAAGATCTACTCTTTTAGCAACTTTCAAATATACAATAAAGTATTCTTAACTATATTCACCATGCTGCACATAATATCCCCAGAACTTATTTATCTTATAACTGAAAGTTTATATCTTTCTACTCCCTTTACCCATTTCCCTTCTCGACTCCCCCTCTAAGCCCCCCATCCTCCTGCCTCAGGCAACCACCAGTTTGCTCTCTGTTTCTATGACTTCGGCTGTTTTAGATTCCACATGAGACTATATGGCATCTGTCTCTGTCTGACTTATTTCACTTAGCATAGTGCCCTCAGGGTTCATCCACGTTGTCGCAAATAGCAGGATTTCCTTCTTTTTATAGCTGAATACTATTCCACTTCATGCCACATTTTCCTACCCACTCATGCATCGGTGGACACTTAGGTTGTTTCCATGTCTTGACTATTGTAAATAATGCTGCAACACTTACTGATTTTCAGTAATTAATTGAGCTCCTATCTAAAACATAAGTGGACAAGACCAAAGTTCCAAGCCCTTTGTTGCATTATCTGGCTAGACTGTCATCTCCCTTTACTACAGGTGGCATAAGGCAGAGAGGAAAACTCACTTGCCCAAGGTCCCCCAGCAAACTAAGTAGCAGAGCCTGGGAGCTTCCTCTTGAGAAACCGGTTGGCTGGGGCAGGGGTGGGGTAAATGAGGAAGGCAAAAAGAGAGTGGGAGCAAGGTGGGTGGCCTTGTCTGCAAGTGGTGTCTGCAGAGCAAGCCCAGGTCCTTATTTAGACTTGCTGCTTGATATATGCGCCTATACGAAATGCATTTAGCTGACTTCCTTGCGCACTGGTGCAAACTCGGTGCATAAATGGGGGTAAGTGTGGGTAGCCTGCGACTATGATTTGGAGGGGGTGGAGGGAAGGAGACCCCTTTGGTGCTTGGGCAAAGAAAGACCTCTCTACCCAAGTAAGCTGAAATCTGGAAGGAAGGGAGGGAGGGATAATTGGGGGTGAGAGAGACAGAGACAGTGGGAGACTCATAGCCACTACCTAACATTTACCTGTTTGAAGGAAACATTCCTGAAGTACTCCCCTGATGCCCATGTAGAGTTCAACGTCTATTTTTAGATAAAATGAGTACAATAAAAATTCAAATAGGTAATTATATTCAATATCAAGCTTTTGAATAGCCAGTCTGCTCTTGAGAAGATAATTAATTAATGAAGTGGGTGGTCTGGGGCTTGGGCGAAGGACAGAACTTGGAGTTTTGTCAGGAAGAGTGAGCCCCATGGTTTGGAGAAAAGCATCCCTTTTTCCATTGGGGCTGGAGAATCCAAATCAAATGCCTCCACTGGTCAGGTGGTGGACTTTATATGTCAGGCTGAGGGTTTGGACTTTGTCGTGAGGACAGCATGGGAGGCGTTGAAGAGTTTTAAGGAGAGCCAGGTGGTGGCTGCTTTACTCTGTAGCATGAAGGACACAATGGAGCAGAGAGAAGATAGGTGCAGAGAGAAGGTGTTTTATGGCTGGAGTTTTCCCTGCTGCTCCTGAAAGCATAGTCCACATGCTGTTTCTTTCTCATCTGCTTGAAGCAGCATAGCATGGGGGTTATGCTGTGGATTCTTGGAGCCACCCTGCCTGGGTCTACGTCCTGGCTCTTCCACGTACTGTCTATTTAACTCAGGCATTTACTTAAGTCTTGGTGCATCAGTTTCCTCGATGAACATAACATCATTGTCTCTCTCTTAGTAATGTCTTGAAATGATTAAATGTCACTACATGTTTAAGGCTCAGCACAGTGCTTGACACACAGTAAATACCTAGTAGTTAGCAACCTTACTCCTGCCAAGGCCAGTGAGTGGGCTCCTGGGCTGCAACCTCCAGGCCCCAGGAGGACAGCTGTGGCAGGGCCTCTGGCCCTCTGCCCTCTCCCTGTGTCAGCCCCCACCTGCCTTTCCCAGGGGGCTGTGCCTGGCCTTCCAGTTCTCACAGAGCATGGCCAGCCTGGGCCCCAGGGACTTGGGAAGGATCACTGCAAGGGCAGGAGAGAAAAGGGCTTTCAGCTCTGAAAACAGATTTTTATCCAAATCTCAGGCTTGGGAATTAGGTTGGAATTGGATGAAAACCAGCTTCCTAGCCCCGCGCAGGCCTAGAGGGGTGTCTCTGAAGCAGGGAGACCGTATGCCCAGCCCTTGCACTCTGACTTCCAGATGCAGAGGTGAGAGGCTCAAGGCCAACTCAGCAAACCCAGGGACTAGCTATGGGAAACAAGTTCAATGAGATAAAATGCTAAAAGTTCAGAGTCAAAGGGCACCTTGAACTCCCAGCCTTTTTCGGTTTTGTTTCCACAGTGCAATAGAAATGGTAGCTCTGCCACCAAGTTAGGGGGACACTGGATAAGTCACCCCCTCCTTGGCCTCAATTTTCCTGAATACCCAAGGATGGGAGTTCAGTTCAAAGGTATCAAGTAGGGCTCATCTTGTGGGGCAGGTTTGATCAGTAGTTAGTGGCCACCTGTTTGGCTGGTTAGAGAGAGCTCTGAGATTAAAGCAGTGATGTCTGCCACGCGTGTGGGAGCCAATGGGTGGTGCATGGGCAGCCCTTTGCCTGGATGGGTCTTAGTCCTGAATACTCAGTCTTGGCACTGAAGTGGATTCCCAGGTCTGGCCCAGTGCCCCTAGTGGACTCTCGTCTCAGCAGTGCCTCTGAAGGTCCCCACCGAAGGTCAGAAACTGCTTTAGGCCCTTGATACACATTCTCTAGGCTGTTCCACTTCTTACCTGGTTATTGGCAATGTCTGCTGGGGAGAGCTGTGTACCTTGGGTTCAACATGGGACAACTGTCCAATACATGAGAATTGATGTCCTTGATGCTAGTGAAGAGGCAGTCAGGCTTCATAAAAAAAAAAGCTGAAGCCCATTGCAGGCCACACACCCTGCCAGCGCTAGGCAACGTCATGGCTCAGGACTTATGCCACCCACATCCCAGCCTCCCCTATTCCCTCTTCCCACCCTGAGCAGGGGCACACTTTCCCTGCCCCTCTGCTCTAACCAGGGGCTCCAAGCCCTCTTTATTGTCTCATTTATCAGCACTGATAAACTCATTCACTCTGAGGTGCCAAGAACTAAGAATAGCTGTAGATAAGTTCAAACGGTGAAATTCTCAGCATCCACAAGCAGGAGGCCTCAGCTGCAGTGCTTGTGAATCCCAAGAGCAGGTACCATCGCCGAGCAGAAGAATGTTAGTTGTTCTTCAACTACGGGGAAAATTGTTCTGCCAGAGGTCTGGAACCTGAGACATTCCAGTGAGGCCTGCCCTGCCCTCTACAGACAGCATGTAGTGAGAAGGGTGCGGCCTCTGGAGCCAGAGTGCCTGCGCTTCAAATGCCAGCTCCACTACTTTCTCATGTGACCTAGTGAAAGTCACCTGTCTCTTTGTACCCCAATCTTCTCTAACAAAATGGGGATGGTGATGAGAGTAGTACCTACTTTGTAGAGTTGTTGAGGGGAGAAGGGGAGCTTAGTGCTTAGAACAGTACCTGGCATGTAGTGAATGCTAAGTGTTGGCTGTTATCACGAGGTTCCTTGGGCGGCCATGCGTCAATCCCAGTCATTGCAGTTTGAGATGGCAGGCACCAGGGTTCAGCCCAGGTCTAGCACACAGTAGGTAGCAGCAAATATGAGCCCCACCCTCCTTTTACCTTTGTTTTGGAATTGTCTCCACAGCCAAATTAGGAGCTAGATGAGAAAACACAGAGAATTCCTCAGCATGGCTGCTGTCTCTGGGAGCCAGCCTTTAGAAGGTCATTGTGGCTTTGTCTGCACTGGGATCAGAAAGTCCAGTAGATTTTCTCTCTTTCTTCCCCTGCCCTTCCCATTAATCATGACTTGCTGCCCACAATCCCTACTGCCTCAGCAGCCATGCTGGGTGGGACGTGACCCCACCTTTTGGCCACAGCTGATTGGACCTAGGAATGGCCCCTGACCCCAGGGCTGCCCACTCAGGTGAGTTGGCCCAAACATATTCTGCCTTAGGAATTGGGAATTGGAAAATGGAAACTGAGCCAGGTGGTGGTGATGGAGCTAGAGCTGAAAGGTCACCTAGAGTTAGGAAAAAGATTATGATGGCCATGTTCAAGCTGAGCCCTGGGGAGGCAGAGGAAGCTGGTGGCAGAGACAGAGGCCTAAACAGACAGAGCTGCTCCTCTGAGACACAGTAAATCAGAACCACTTTCCACTTCTAATTCTCAGGAGGCCTGGGGACACCATGTCTCCTTGGCTTGGCTTTCCATGAGAAGCCCATATTGACATGACCCCACTCTCTTCCCTGGAGCTAGCCTGAGAACGTCTGTGGGCCCTGTAACCAGGAGGGCCTCAGCTTACTCCCTGGCAACCCTGCCTCCTTGGCTCCTTCCATGAGGTTCTGCTGGATGTAATTTCATGGATGGAGTGGACCTCTACACCTCCCTCACTCACATCCTGCCTTGGTGACCTCAGGGGAAGCTGCTGTAGCCATGCTGGGGCACCCCACAGCTTGAGGTGACCATCTGGGGCTCCTGCCTTCAGCTATGTTTTCTGGAATTGAGCAAAATCCCTACCACAATGGCCTCATTTCCTGCCACCTTTCTGCTGAGAAGTGGCAGTCCAGCTCAGCCCATCTCCTGCTGCCCCAGCCTTGGCTTCAAGCCAGCCCCTGGCCGTTTGATCATGTCCTTCATGTCAGACCCAAATCCCAGCACTGGGTTCTGTTTCTCACTCTTGACTAGGAGCCAAAAGCTTATGGTTTTTATTTGACAGTCTCAAATCTACTGCCCAAATCCACACTCTCTCCTGTGAGCTGGAAAAGAAATCTGTTTATTTTATTGATGAGTTCAGAGTAAGGTTTGTAGCAGCAATCTTAGCAGCAATGACAGCAGGAGTGAGAGCAGAGGGGTGGAGAGAGACCTAAGAGTCAGGTCCTATTGGATTTCAAGGGAGGAGTCTCCCAGGGCTGGGAGAGACCAAATTCACAGGGCCGGAGAGAAGACATGAGAGTTTGGTCCCAGGGGCCCTTTTCAGAACAGTTGGCTGCTCTCTCCCTCCATATTGGCCTTCGAAGGAATGGCCAGAAGTGCTCCTTACGCAGCACTTCTACAGGGCCAACGGGAGTCTGAAACCTCTGGGTGCTGGCTGTGTGTTTCCAGGGTTTCTGCAGGCTGGTGTCTCTCAAGGCTGGTTCCAGGCTTTGTGTTCAGAAGGCTGGGTCCAGGGCTCACTGGCTTCTAGGGGTGAATTTGGTTTCTCCTTCTGGACTTCAAAAGAAGGTCCTGTGGGGAAGATGAAACAGACCAGGAGGGTGCAGGCCTTGTGGGTGCACACTCAGCCCCGGGAAGAGCCTGACAACAGGGAGGACTCCTCAGTGGTACAAGGTCCTGCACCCTCTGGCAGCCCCTCTTGGTGTGGGCCCCGAGGAGCTACACACCAGCCATAGCCACAGCACACAGGAGGCCAGGGAGAAAGCAGGAGGGAAACCTGAGATGAGGTAGGAGGGAACCAGAAAGCAGAGGGGCTGGGCTCCCTCACAAAGAGCAGATGACAAGTGACAGAAAACATAGGGCTACTGAAGCCATCCCAGAAACCACGGCATAGCAGGCCAGCGGTCTGAGAGCATAAGGCCCTTATGTTTTGAGAAACTTGTAACAGAAAAGTCATAAGTCCAGGCCTGGGGCAGCCCTAGATGCTGCCAGCTGTGGGCTTTAGACCACACCAAACACCAGTTTCACAGCCACCTGCCAGCTCTGTCCATGGGCACAGCCCTGTCACAGGGTGGGAAACATATCCCAAAGCTGGGCTCCACAGTGTCCCACAGATAAGAATCCGGAGTCACGGGAGAGAGAAGGCACGGAGGACAGCTTGGTCTGAGCAGGGCTCAGGCCACGACAGGTCACAACAGGACATGAACAACCCCAATAGGCCAACCCTGGTTCTTTGGACCAGCCTTAATTGCCTTTTAATTGCCCTGGCTCTGCCCAAGCACGGGCGTGGTGGTGCAGGGCTCCCAGAAAGTGGCGCCCCCAAGGAAGGGGAAATCCAGGCTGCGCTTCCTTTGGGCAGCCCGTCATGCCTGGTTTGAAGCACTGTCTGTGTCCAGCAGAGAATGGTGCTCACTGCTCCATCCTGCTCATTGGGGTGCTGCAGGGGACCCGTGGCAGGTCCCAAGGGCTGTGGTGAGTCAGGATGCCCAGGTCCTAAGCATGCTACAAAGCGGGCTCTGCTCAGCTCCCCTGAGCGGGAGGGCCTTTGAGTCCAACACAATCCCAGTGTGGCCAACAGCAGGCCTGGGTGGCACTTCAGGGAGGGTGCCTCGTGCGCCCCTCCAGACACCAGTCCAAAGAACCTGCCGACGGCATGGGCAGCAGACGGCCACTACACGCAGCGCGGACAGACGGGGCCCTGCAGCCCGCCTGCCTATTCACCGTGGGGGGCTGCCAGGCTCCAGCTGCAGGAAGAACCCGTGTCTAAGCACGGGAGCACGGTCTTCAAGGAGCTTTCGGACCGGCTGGGAGTTTTCGGCTGCAGAGGAGGGAAGAGAAGAGCTACATACGCAGAGCGGAGCAGGAAACACAAAACAGGGCTCAGTTATTCCCAGGCAGAGCTCCACCGGACCTCTCCCTTCGCTTGGCTCCTGCCTAGGCCCTGGTTCCAGAATTAGTTGCTACAGGACCTTGATTTCTCTAAGACATACGCAGAACTCAGCAGAGAGGCAGAGAGAGAGAGACAAAGATGGAGACAGAGAAAGACAGAGATAAAAATGGATGCAGAGACTCAGAGCCAGGATAGAGAGAAGCCAGCAAAGGAGAGGGTAAGAAAGAAGAGGGAGGGTGATGAAGAGAGAGAAGAGAGGAAGGGGAAAAAGAGGGGCAGGCGGGAGACAGAAAGTGACAGGAAGGATGGGGGGAGACAGAGAGAGGAGGAGATAGAGACCCACACAGGCACAGGGACAGGAACGAAACAGAGAGAAACAGGCACATAGGGAACTGCAGAGAAAGGACGGACACTGGGCCAAGGCTCTTTGGAGATCCTGCAAGTGGGGCCAAAGCCTGTGCTCCTGGCAGCTTGAAGACTCAGCAAGAAGGAAAGCAGTTACCTATCAGGCAGACCTTCCAGAGAATAAAAGACAGACATCTTTAACCTAGCTGATGGTGGTGCAGGGGGTGAAGTTCTGATGGGGAATTAGAAGTCCTAAGGCTTTGTACCAACTTCATCATTCACTTGGTCTGAGACCTGAACTTCTCTGGGCCTTAGCTGTCCACATGTAAAGAAGAATTTGGGCAAGATCATCTTGGAGGCAGCTCTGATAATGCTTGAGGACAGTGACTTAGTTCTAGGCTTTCTCTAGCTCGGGTGCTTTCTAGCCATTCCTCCAGGCTGGATGGAGGTTGGGAGTGGGCTGGCAGAAGGCAGCCAAGGTTCTGGAGAAGGAGACAGAGGCGGCAGTGGGCCAGGCTTCCCCCCACACTTACAACTCGTCATCGTATTCTTTTGGGGGGCAGGCAGCAATAACAAGGTCGATCCAGTCCTGTGGGGAGAAGGTGTGTGATTCAGGGGCATGCTCAGGGATTGACGGCGGGTCTGCGTTTGACACTCTGTTCCCATTCCTGGGCACCGCAGCCCAGGGTCAACTGGCTAGGACCTTCTTCCCATGGGAAGGTGTGCCCAGGTGGGGCTGGAGGACCTCCTGGTGGGGATGGGCCTCACTGTGCAGTCCCATGGTCTGGGGAAGCTTCCAGTCTCTGAGGCTTCAAAACCACAGAGGCCAGGGTTGCCAGGCCCTTGAATGACACCAAGTTCCCAAATGCTGATCTGTGGACCAGGCCCAGGCAGCAACCTTGGGATCGTGGACAGAATTTCTTAAAACTCTAGACTCATGGACTTGGCCCCGGGAGATCTGGGGTAGGTCCTGGGAAACAGCATTTTTAACAAGGTCCCTTGGTTATTGTGATGCATAGCCAATTAGGGAATTTCTGGCTTAGCTTCCTGATCCCAACACATGAACCCCCTCAATGGATCACTGCCATCCTTGGCTTATCCATCAGTGCCCATCTTTGGCTTGGGTATATTCAATAAAAGGTATGTGAATTATCACTAGGCCCCTATACCATGCAATAGCTCCTAATATTGAACTGAAATTTCTTCCCAGGACCTCCCTCTATCCAATCCAGTTCTGTTCTAAGAACCACAAAGAACACTTCTGCTCCCTCTACCCTAATGCAGCCCTTCAGGTAATCAAAGACAGTCATCATGTTACCCGTAAGTCTTCTCTTCTCCACATCCCTTCATGTGGGTCCCAGTCCCATCTGGTCAGCTTCCTCGGCTCTGAACTTAATACCCCAGGCTCGGTTGCCTGCATACAGTTGCACAGGTTGTGCATTGCACAACATGAGCGGGCACCATTCACACTGTAGCCGGTAGGAGGGCACCCCCTCGAGTTGTGCAGTGCACAGCCCGGGAGACCTTATGTGGTGACTCTGACCCAGGTGGGTGTCTAATGAGCACAGAGCAGGTTACCATCAGCCCCTCCTCCATTCTGGGTCCTCTACTTCTGTTAATATTTTCTGATAGCCTCAGGCACTCTTTGATTCCTGGTCAGTGTGCACTTAGAGAAGACCTTAAGTTTTTTTCTTGGGTGGGTTGCCTGGTCTTCTGGAGTCTGTATTTGTGTCACCTGCCTTTTGGATTAAAGAACAGGAACTGACATTTATTTTTCTGAATCCCACATTGTCAGATTGAAATCATCGGCTGGATGGGGTATGTGGGCATCACTCAAGAGTTGCCTGGACCCTGGATGCCCACCTGAGATGAGGCACCCTGCTCCCTCTACCCTATAAGGCCTGGCTGCAGAGGCCAGGGTTTGAGGCAAGCAGGCAAAGGAGGGAGGTAGGGAGGAGGTTCACTCTTACCCCTTGATTCCAGGCCTTCTGCAGGGCAGCCTCAGCCTCAGCCAGGGTGTAGTCCGTCACGATTTTGCCATTGATTGCCATGACCTCATCTCCTTTCACAATACCGCCTGCGGGAAGATGAGACTGATTGGCAACTGGGCCATATGTGACATGTACCTGGCCTAGGGATTGGCTAAGGGGGGGGGGGTCACTATAGAGCTGCAGAAGCCTGACTCCTGGCTTCTGAAAGCTCACATGGGCTCAGAAAGCATGAGGGGAACAAACCACCAGGCTACTCAAAGGGCACTTCCTTCCCACACCATCCACGTCCTCACCCTGCTCTGTAGATAGGGATACCAGTGATAAATCTTTGTCACCCCAGCTTTTCTACGGGCCTCTGCTATTTCAGAAGGAGGCAGACCTATATCCCCAGGGAAGTTACCAGAAACATGAGCTAGTTCTGCAAGCCATCCCTCTCTGCTCCAGCCCTGCTGGTCACTTCAGGCCCTTGAGCTGGCCAAGCTCTTTCCTGCCTCACATGCTTTTCCACCTGAAACCCTGGCCCTCTCTCTCTTCCTTCTCATCTACATCTGAGATGAAATGTCTCCTCCTCAAAGAGGTCTTCCCTGACCCCCACTCTCTCTTTTTAGTTTCTCACAGTATCCTGGTCTTTTCCTGCATAGCATAGTTCACAGTTTGTAATCATATATCTATTTATTGACTGATGGTCTCTTCCCAGCAGCCCCCTTTCCCTTTGGTGGGTTAGGGGGCCCCTCAGAGCTCCCACAGCTTCCCTCTCCCCTTTGTCAGCCCTTGGCAGACTACACTGTTATTGTCAGTACCTGGAAATTCTGAGCATGTTTTCACCACTGGATGGGGAGCCCCTGGAGGGTAGGGTGTCTGGCTTGGCTGTGTACCCACAGGCCCTGGACCACTGTATGCTCTCAGGCAACATGTGGGACTGGGTGGGCGGATGAACTGGAGGGGTATTCTTAAGCAATTGTCAACCAGTCCAAGTGGGCAGCTGTTGGCTTTCCTGCAGAGCCCTGTATAACCATCACACCATCCTCAAACCAGGACATGGCTGGTCCCCACTCACCATGCCTCTCAGCGGCTCCCCCCTCATAAACAGCCGAGACGACCACCTTGCCGATCGGGGAGTCCACACCACCTTCTAAAGCCAGGTCTAAGGCTCCCTCCTGGTTAGAGGAAAACAGGCTTTAGGAAGCCAAGCAGACAGTAGCCTGTGGACACCTGGGTAATGAGCTTCTTGACGGGGCCACACGGAGGACAGGAGAAGTCTTGGGGCTACCAAGCAGGGCCAGGGTTTGGGGGTCGCATCACAGGAGGGGGCACCCTCAGGGGAAGAGAGGAGGATAGTGGGGATCTAGGGGGTCATCTAAGAGTCTCTTGAGAGTAGGAGAAGCAAGGGACCAAGATAGGAGGGGGCAGGGGTAGGGGCAGAGAAGGGTGGTAGTTACCCGACCTCCATGTGCCCAGGTACCTTCTTAATGCGCAGGAGCCGGATATCCTTCCCTAAGATCTGCTCTGGGGTGAACTAGAGGGGAAAAGACAGTGGGGGAGCTTTGAGATTGTCTGAAGGACGAGGGTGGGGAAGGGGTGGGAGGGGAAGCCAGGGACCTGTGGGACATTGGGCCCCACAGAGAACATGGACAAGGGGAGCTTTCCCAGCCCCACCACCATCAGTTTTCAACTGGGGGTCCCAGGCTCCATGGGGGACATATGGGCACACACAAATCCCAGATCTGTTCTTCTGGGGATGTTGCGAGGCTGGTGAGAGAATGCCTTGCAAACACGCAGCACAGTGCCTGGCATGTAGGCAGTGCTCAGTAAGCGTAACTTGTTATAAACCACACACATGCACACACACCATACACTTCACACTGGAATGTCATTTGTAAGGAGCTTCACAGAAAAGAGCAGTTAGGGCTCTCTTGGGGGTCCTCATGTGCTCATCCCTGGCATCCCCAGGGCCCAGAATGTACCACCACCAAATACATTATAACCCCCTAACCCCCATTCCTAGGGTTTTCCCCAGGGGAGGAGAGTTCACTCTCACCATGGAGTAGGGGTCAAAGCCTTCCTCATATTTCCGGAAATCCTGGAAGCAAAGCAGGGTGTTAGGGCAACAGAGCAGAGGTCTCTGAGGGTCACTGCAAGAAATATGCTTAGGGCAGAGGAAGTCAATGGGGAGCGGGTCAGAGGTAGGGGAGAGGCTGAGGGAGGGCAGATGTGGACTGGATGGGGGATGCAGGGAGTAGGCCGGCAGCCCCAACAGCCAGAGCACCCCTGCCCAGGGAGAAGCAGAAAGCTGTGGGAAGCATCAGAAGAACCCAGCCCTGGCCCCTGCACTGTTCCAGCAGGGTGAGCATCTGTGGCTGGCAGGGGCACCAGCTGACAGACATCCAGGTGGCCTAGGCATAGCTGGCCTTGTTGAAGGTCTTCTCTTCCCACATCCACAGGTCCTATGGTCCTACTCAGTTCCTCCAAATGCCCTGCAAGGCCAGATCCATGCTTCGGGTGGGTAAAGGCCAGCTTTTCTCGTCCCAGGGCTGTGATCCCAAAGAAGGACCAACACTGCTCAGGAGACTGCTCTTCCTGGGGTATCAGCCACAGGATGATGGGGGCGGGGGCAAAGGGATGGCAGGTACCACAAGGGAAAATGGGATGTCTGTGCTTGCCCATGTCCAGTGTTGTTCTTAATGTAATACTTATCTAGAAGGCGACAGGCCTCCTCAGAGCCTTAGCAGGGGAGGAGAGAGGACACCCAGCTCAGGGGACCTGGCTTGGTGGGGGCTGTGGGAACAATATCCCCAAAAAGTAGAAACAAGGGGGTGAGAAGGGAGAAAGGGGCAGAGCCGGAACACACCACTTTCCCAGGAGTCACACAGTGAGCAGGAGTCCAGGGTCCACAGACTGACAGGGCAGACACACCAAGCCTGAGAGCCACAAAGCCTCGGTTAGTCCCCATGGGAAGGTGGGAGCGAATGAGCGGCCTTTCCGGACTGAGTGGAGCCACCCCCAGCACACAGTCCCTTAGGCCACACCAAGTGTCCCCTGGGACCTGTGGTCAGCATCACCGGGAGGCCAAAGCCACCTCTATGCCCAGCATTCAGCATGCAGTTCTGGGCTGAATATCAGCAGATGGATCCTGGACATTGGCCTGTCCTCCCTCCTCTCTAGTCTTTATCGCCCAGGCTCAACCTCCAAAAGCCAGGGAGTTTCAAGCCTGGCGCAACTCCGAGGCCACACCCAGGTGGGTCTATGGGTGTCAGGGCAGCCAACAGAAAGAATGCAGTAAATCCACAGGCAAGAGATTAGTGGGCAGGCTATGAGTCAATGCTCTTTCACAGAGGGCCCTGCCTACTCCTGGCTATTTCTTCTGCAAAACTAGGCAGTGCTGGCTGTGGGCCTGAGAATCTTCCCCCAGGGATTGGCTAGATGGAAGTACTTGTATCTTGTGTAAATTTAGATCAGGGACTTATAAGCCATTATAGCTGGTCAGCCCTTGAAGAGGGAGCCCAACCCTTCATCCAACAGATGGAGAAACTGAGGCCCAGAGAGGTGACATTCATGCCCAAGGTCACCCAGTCAGTGGGCAGTGGGGCAAGGGTTTGACACCCAGTCTGGACCCTTGGACTTCTCACCTTCCTGCCTCTCCCTTTGAGAGCTGTGTGTGTCCTAAACAACAAGGCCCTTAAATGTCTCTTTTACAATCACGGTGCTTTGAGAAGCAGGATTGTGTGGCATCTAGGAACCCAACCTCCCGGATTAAAATCTGGGGTCTGACACTGGCTGTGGCATCTCAGGTGTGTTTCCTAATCTCTTTGCTTCAGTTTCTCATCTACAAAATGGGGATGATAATAGCACTTCACTGCTAAGTTGCTGTAAAGACTAAATGAGTTAATACACATAAAGTGGTTAGAAACAGTGCTTGGCACAGCACACCAGTCTTGGGCTGGGAGCAGCCTCTTCTGCAGACCCTCATGTCTCACTGTGTAGCTCACACCTCCCCTTAGCTCCCTGCCTGTAATCACATTTGCCTGTGGTTGGGTGGTGGGTAATCAGTGAGGAGGTTGGCTGCAAGATCTCCCTCCATCTGGGGTCTCTCATTGGTGGTGAGGCAGCCGATCCCACGGCTGGTTCTGTGGGTGTGAGCCCCAGGAGGTGGGGAGGATACCGTTGCCTGCCTGACACCACTCACGGACCAGCTAGGACTTCTGCGGCCCTGTGCACAGGAGTACCCTGGGCAGATGGAGGACCTGGGCCATCACTTCCTCTCTGATGCTGGTTCAGTGCCAGGTGGGGTTGGGTTGAAGCTGTGATCTGCCTTGAAGGGATAAGACAGGGGACGGGGCAGGGAGAAACCTCAGGCACATAGGGCTGGAACAAGGGCCCATCTTGGCCTCTGGAACCCTCTGAGGGTTCCCTCTGCCCTGTTCCTCTTTGAACAAACAGTAGCAAAAGAGTCCAGCCCCCAGGGACCCTGCATGGGGCCCAATAAACCTAACGTTCCAGCCTGATATGAGACCCTTCCCAACCCCTGGCTGTGGCCATGGGGACACAGCTTTAGCCTGAGGCTCCCAGCAGATGGCCCTTGGGGCCACCTGAGAGCTGACCAGCACTCCCAGGGAGGGAAATCAGAATGGGAGACATAGGGGGTGGCAGGGAGGACCACAGACACACAGCGGGTATCATTTTACTTGTCTGAATGCTGTTTGATAAACCACCATCCTCTTCAACATCTCCTGTGGCTGCCAGAAAAAAAAAAAGTTCCATGCTGGATATTACTGATAGGTCTCATCTGCCCCCTGGTGCCAGATCCCGGGCCTGCCAGTCTGGGGCAGCCCTGCCAACATCCCTCCCCAGACAGACACAGCCTGATTTATGTTTCAGCCCCCATGATGTCCCTAGACACAGCAGCTACCCAGGTCTAGTCAAGCAAACAGCACCCTTGTCATCAGCCAAAACAAGTGACACAGGTGCACCAGTGACTGTCACAGGAGCACGAACTTAGCTCTTCAGGGAGCTGACACGACAGCTAGAGCTCAAAATAAGTATCTGAGCTGCCCCGCCTGACATTTGGATAGAGTTTCCTTGAAAGGAGAATTAGAATTCTGGCATGACTCTTCCCAGCATGAGTGGGAGGCCAGTGAGTGGCTGGTGCCCCTGGAGCACCAGCTCGCTCAGCTGCAGGTGACTGAGAGTGGGCAGACCTCCCCACTCCCCCGGGACCACACCTCACACTCCCAGTCCCAGGGAGGAGTGAGATGTGAAATGGAGAAAGGCAGTGGATCTGCTTTGGCCAGTTCCCCATCTGAGGGTGGTCCATGCCATGATGGCTTTAGGGACAGAGGCCAGGCAACTGGAATCACTGTAAGTTTTGGCAAGATGGCAACGTAGATAAGAGCTTGGGCTTTGGATTCTGAATGACTCTGGTGTAAGTAGTAAGTCCTGGTTCTGCTTTGGGTAACCTACTGAATCCCTCTAAGCTTCGGGTTCCTCAAGTATGAAACACGGATAACATCAGGTGCCATGTACTGGATTGTTGTGAGGATTAAGTGAGACCCTGCAGAGTTTGAGCTGTTATTTTTATTACTTCTAGATGAAGCTCCAGCTTGTTTGGTCAACTGAGGAACAGGAATGTCACTGGTCATGTCAACAACTGCTTACACCCATGTGAATTCATCTCTAGGCCAATGAGAAGGTTAGGAGATGGCACCTGATGTGAGTTTGTATTCCACCTCACTCTCCCTCCAGCAGAACCCAGGGAGACAGCCCTGGTCTGCTCCTCTGGATAGGCCCTGGAGGGGACCGGAGAGGCTTACCAGGACCTCGGATTTCACAGCTGGCCTGTAGATGAAGTTGGACTCCTGGTGGACCATGACAGGCTTAGAGATGGTGGACACGCCAGGGCCTCGTGGAGGCTGTGGGCTTGGGCAAAATGTCTACAGGGGTTAGTTTAAGAAAGATCCATGTGAGGTCATAGTGAGGATGGCCCAGGTCAACCATGGCACTCTGACGCCCGTGCAATTCACACCATGCACATGCTGAGCCGGCCTGGTTCATTCACCCTGCCAGAGGCCCTGGGGTATGATTATCAGCAGAGAGACAAGAGATCCACTGGCCACAGTGTGCCCTGAAGTCAAAGAAACTATGTGGCTCTGAGGAATCAGGGACTTGAGCCAGAGTCTGGTTCTGGGGTCACCAGCCACTGTCACTCAGAGAATAGGTTTTTCAAGGCTTCCTCTCAGTGGCCTTGGATGTTCAGCCTTCTCTCTTCCTAAAGGTTCTCTCTTCTGGCCATGGTTCCAGTCCCTGGACCGCACAGGAAGAATCCACTCTCCCTGGTAGATGGGCCCAGAGTCTGGAGGCTAGGGGTAAGGAGCAGTAAGAGAGGCATCCTGGAGAGCTGATGTACTGTCTGTTTTGCTCTAACCCACTTGATCATCTTGGGCAAGACAAATCAAATTGGGTCACAGCCCTGCTCCTGGCCCTTGATGGGTCCCCACTGACTACTGAGCTCCTTGACTTGACCTCAAGGTCCTTCATGAACTTCTCTACCTTCCTTTACAGACTCATCCCTTCCTCCTTCCCACCCTCCCCTGTGCCCTTTTCAGCACTGCTCCCCTCTCCCCTTCACACAGAGAGGCAAAAGGCAGGCACTTAATGATTTTTGAATCAAATTTGTTGAGGAAAAGCTGCCGCCCACCCTGGTGGAGACCACTCGACATAAGGATAATTCAGCTGCCTGCAAACCTGTCCTGGCTGGGCTCTGGGGGAAGACATCCCCGGAACAGACAGACATCTCTCTGTCAGAGCTATAGGGCTCAGGACTCCACCAGAGGTTCAGAGGGAGTCCCCCTGAGAGTCCCCTGCGGAAACCTGCAGCTTTGTCTGCATCTGGTACTTACTCTCACCTCCCTTCCACCAAGCTCTCCTGAGTACTCTGAGATACTTTTTCTGCTCTGGATGCAGGAACTCAAATCCAAGCAGGGAAGGTTAATAAAAACCACCAATCAGGTGCCTGCTGCCTGCCCTTCCCCACGGCCCCACCCCAGCTGACACGAGCTGCATCAGTTCTGACTCAAACTTGGCCTCATAGCTACAGGAGTAGAGGAATATTTTGTTTTTCTTTCCATGAAATCAAAGCTCCATGTCTTCCTTGAGGATTGCCTCTTCTAATATAGTCTTTGGATTATGAACAATTAATAACAAATATATCTTTTTGAGAAAGATCACTGTTCTGCCTCCTGACATCCAAGAAAAAGATCCCTAGTCTTTTAAGAGAAAATTTGGAGATTTCAAGGAATTCTCCATCTTCATCTTTTCTGTAGCTGGAAGATGGCCAGACATTTCTGGGTATTCTGAGTATTAGACTTCAAGCGAACATAGTTGGCTAGTGCCACAGAAAATGGCACTGCAGTGTCATCACGCTGCATTGGTAAGTGTTATTGCTTCATTTACAGAGTCTAAAATCGCTTCCCTTTTCCCTGTTAAACTGGGGATTCATTTCCCACACTCAAGGCTTTCTAGGTTAATATCAAGAAAGGATTAGTTGTGACATAGAGCTCTGGCTAGTCAACACAGCCTTGCAAGTACTACATTGAGTGTCACCAGCCCTACTAGCCAAGAGGAAGCGAGGGCCATGAATATCGATACACTGTTGCTCATCCCAACTATCACAGGCATCACCATACAATACAGCACTTCAAAATCAGCAGAAACCATGCACATGCAGGATGTCCACAACATGCAGGTTGAGGAGCTCATTCCTGGAAAACGGGGTAAGGTGATGTTTCTGCCCGTCTCCACGCACAGGAGCAGGGAAGGACCTGGGAAACATCAGCCCAGCCCATCCACCTGCTTCCCAGCGTAGCATGCGGGGCAGGGGTAGTACCTTTGGGGTGGGTGGGAAGCTCCGCTCGGGGACAGGGGAACTGGCGGGCTTCCCGCTGTGGTTCTTTGCCTCCCAGTCCTCTGTAGGATTGCCTGTGTCCCCAGGCCGGAAGGGCTGGTTGCCCAGTGCCTCTTCCAGGGCAGAGGGCAGCGGGCGGGTAGGAGTGAGGTCTTGGGTGGGAATTGATGGTGGGGGAGGGATGGGAATGGGAGGTGGGTTGTGTTGCACCCAGGGTGAGGATGAGGCGCTCACACGGCCTGATGACGGAAGGACAGGGGTTGCGGGGACCTTGAGGGGTGGGTTGGAGGGTGGAGGGTGGGGCATTACAGGCAAGGCAGAGGGAATCCTGGGGGGATAGTAGAACATGTCCAAAGGGATGTCATCCAGGTCAGTGGTGTGGAGGTGCAGTCCACCAGCGAAGCGTCTCAGGGGCGGGGCGAGGGGAGACATAGAAGGCGGGGGCCCTGTGGTCATCTGGGGGGTTGCAAGGAAGTTCTGTAATCATCTGACTAGTGCTCCACTTCACAGTACATTGAGCACAAGGCTCTTCTAATCTATCTCTCTTACTGCTGGAGACCTACCACCCTCAAACCAGAGCCATGGAGGTGTCACTTCTCTGCCATCTGAGCTCATACCAGGCGGCTGGTGGGGAATGCCCCATTGCAAGTGTCCCAACTTATGCCATATGTGGGTGATAGGTAAGGTGACCATATAATTTATCATTTAAACCAAAACACACTTGACAGTGAACAGGGCAGTCTTCGCAATTACACCAGGACAATGGGCATAACTGGAACCATCTCAGACAAGCTGGGACTTAGTGGTCACTCTGGAGATAAGCCCAGGAAGACAGATATGTTCCTCCTCCTCAAGAAAGAAAGGGGGAGTGAGTTCGTAAGGTGGCCCTGGACTGTGGCCATCCTGCCTCCCACTGTCCCCAGGGTGAGTCACTGTGAAGGCAGCAGGAGCGTCCATGTGGAAAGAGGGGCTCTGTTACCTCTGTAATCTCATTATCAGCAGAGGAGATCTGCTCAAGGCGCGTCTGACAGAGCCTTTCCACCCAATACTGAATCTTTTCCGATTCCTCAAGGTCTTCCCGCTCTGTCTCGGACACCTGGGACCCAAGGACGGCACAAAGAGGTGAGGACAAAGGGCACACTTGAGTCATACGTGGCGGCACACTTGAACCAGTAGCACAGAAACATTTCTTAAAAACCCCAGAGTACTGTTGGGTATGTCAGCTGTCTAGAAAAAGACTCAAGCTTGATTCATCTGGGCCCAGAGGAGGGAGAAACAGGCGAGGAGAGGGTGCTGAAGTGTTGGGTTGACTAACGCTACTTGTAGGAAAAATCAGAGAAGGGGCTCATGCATTGCATGGGATTAGTCCACCTCCAGGATCCCCAAGAACCCTGAGGCTCTTATGATTCTCCAAAGAATGGTCCTTTTGTAGGCTCCTCCTAGCACATTCTAAGGGTTTTTTTCCCTTCCAGGTTGCCTTGTCCTCAGAAGTACGAGTTCAATTTTTTAAATTTTGTAGCTAATTTGTTTCTAATGCCAGAACTAATGCACTTCATATTTGCCAGGATTTCTCTGGTTTTGTAATGTAATCAGCTTGGCAATATGATTCATGGAATCATTAAAGAGAAGCAGAACCAATTATATGTCAAACAGGGAGTTAAGGTCATCGAACTCACCTAGGAAATAATTACTCAGGTTGGAAGACCACTCTTGGCATGTCTTGAAGGGAAAAGCCTTAGATACATTCCCAGGTTGAAGAGGTCTAGCCTCAGACACCCTGGGAGCAGCTTCAGACTCACAGCCTGATTAATTGATGGATAGCCTGAGACACTCTGCCCGTACAACGGCGTTAGCCCCAGCCCCACACCCTCAGAGCCAAGGCACTTTGGGGAAATCCGGTCTTGAGTGTATAACCTGGGTAGGGGGTCAGACTGATTCAGAGCTAATGGCAGGTGGGTGGAAGGCTAAGTTCAGATCTACATCTAGGGAGAGGGGTGAGCCTCACTCACAGCCACGCCGAGGGCGGAGAGCTTGGTCTCAGACTCATACTCTGACACAGTGGGGGCAGAGGGCACAGACTCAAGCCTCTGGCCAGGTGTGTGGAGGGCTAACCTAAGTCCTACAATCTGGGCAGAGGGTTTAGTCTCGGACCCCTCTGAGCAAGGAGGCCAGTCTCAATCCCAAACACACACCTAAGCCAGAAGCTAGCCTCAGATGACCCTGGGCAGGTGGGCGATCTCACTCTCTGGACTAAGGAGGGGGCAGGGCTCACTCCACCTTTGGACTCCATTTGGTTCCCCAGGAGCACGATTGGGAACAACCAAACCGCATGCCAGCGGTGCTCACCGGGCCTGTGAGCAGGGCACGTACCTCCTGGGCCAGCCGGTTGATCTTCAGTTGCTTTTCCTTCTCCAGCATTTCCTCTTTCTCTTTGTAAAGCTTTTGCTCAAACTCCAATTCCTTCTTATTCTTTCTCAGCTCCTGCAGGCTGTCATACTTGGCTTTCTTATCCTTTCCTTTCTGAGCAGATGTGGCATTTTACACGACAAGGGTTATAAGGTAGTGTTGACACTGGCACAGCACCACAAACAGGGCATTCAGTCCTCAGACAACACCAGGCAACCACCCCCGGTGAGCCCCTCCCCCAGCTCTAACCCTGGGCCTCGGACCTCAGGTTCAGAACAAGCAGGCCTCTGCTACCTATTGCAGAGCAGGAGGTACATTCCCTTTGCCAGCCAGAATGGGCTTACTAACTCACTAACTAGCCCCATTACCTTGGCTAAGTTTCTTAACCTCTCTGGGCCTGATTCACTTATCTCCAAAATGGAGAAAATACCTGCCCCATAAGCTTGCCATCCAGAGTCAATGAAATAACATCTATAAGAGCTTTATAAACATTAAAGTACTGTATAAATAAAAGGCATTGTATTTATTTCCTAGTATCTGGACACATGCCTTTTCCATTACTTGGAGAGAAAGGTATCTCAGGTTCAGACACCACAGATGCATCCTGGGAGATTCTGCAGAAAATCAGGGAGAGCTGGTAAGCCTCATTTGTAGAGATCCTCTGTCCTGAGTCAGAGCCAAGGACATCAGATTTTGCCCTGATGCTTAAGCTCCAGACCATTTCATCCTGGAGAGTCCACCATTCTCTCTGAACTAGGCCCCTGGAATGAAGATTAGTCAGAAACTACAGGACTGGGAGTTGGGGGTAGAGAGAGAGAATGGCCTAACTGCTTTCCGCTAGCTGTCAGGTTCAAGAGGACTTGGGGAGGGAGGTGCAGGGCTAAAGGACTCCTTACAGTTCCTGTTGGAATTGGACCCACAAAGCCTGCTTTCCTGGCTGCTTCTCTCAAGGAGTTGCAGAGAAGCCAAGGAATGAGAAAGGAGAGAACATTTATGAACTGCCTATGTGTCAAACAAATTATATCAGTTATCTCATATGTAGGTATTATCCTCACTCTCTTGATGAAGGAGCTGAGGCTCAGAGAAATAGTAAGTCTCTTGTCCAACATCAAACATCTGGTAAGTGGTGGTGCCGGATTTGGTCCTGAGTCTTCCAAGCCCCACCAATTTTCTACTGTGTCCAGGTGAGCTGGGGGCAAGGGGAGCATGGCAGGAGGGAGTGTCAACTCCATCACACACAGCTTGTCAGACAAAGCTAGCTCTCCGGAGAGGGGACAGCAGAGAGCCAACATTCTGGGGAATGTCTGGGGAAAGGAGGAAACCCACCTGTGAGCTCACCCCTACCCCCAACAAGTCTTCCTGGGGCCTGCTCTCAATTCCTCAATCATCCCAGCACTGAAGGCCAGGAATGAAGAACTGAGTTTACCAGCAACGGACACACAACTTCGTCTGCAGCTGGAAGGACTTGGGGGGGTCATTCTGGATCATGATTGAATCATCTTGCCTCCTAAAGACCACCCCCACCTCTATGTAATGTGCTTTGGAAATGACCCTACCCCTCACCATCTGAGGGATGGGATCCATCCCCAGATCAGTCTGTGAGCCACTTGAGAAGATGATTCTCTTAGCTTCAGAGTCCCGCTTGGTTCCTTGCCTACACTGTTGGCTAGACTCTTGGATCAGTTGACAGATGAACCCTTGATATCATATTATAGATTGAGACTTCAATTCCGCAAGAGGAGCCAGAAACATTCTGCCTGATGGCAGCTTGCTAGGATGAGGGCATGGCCTCCCACAGGGACCACTATGATAGGAATGGCCATTCTGTTGGTTTAAAAACACCACCACCAGTGCTAAGATTTTAGAGCCAGGACTACTAGGTGGGGCAGGCACATGTGACATTTTTTCTGTCCCATCTCAGGAAAGCAGCACCTGCTTACTGATGCAGAAGGGCAAGTGGCCCCATAGCATCGCCTACTGATCTCATAACTGTCCACTCCATATCAGTGCTTAGTTGTGTGTGACTCTGCCTCCCTGCTAGAGGGTGGGCTCCTGCAAGTAGGGCTGGTCCACGTGATATACTCATGCAGTCCTGGTGAGAGGGTTATTCAGAACCATAAGTCCTTAGGCACTGGCATAGACTCTGTGGGGTCACAGGCCTGGAGACCCTGAGCCCCAGAGGGGTTACTGCCAAGTTAGGAATCGAAGGCATCAGGTCTTTAGCTTTTCAAATAAGGGGAATGTTGCGCATGGATGGTTATAGCCACAGACAGCCGCTGCATTACCTGGGCCCTGGGTGTTCCTGCTCCTGGGAGACACGGTGTCTCCCATGGCTCTGGAGAAAATGGTGATGGATTTTCAGAGCCAGCAGAACACAATTCTGTTGTCCTTTTAGCTGTCAGTTAAATTTGTGGCAAGTATTCCCTTGAGACTGGACTAAGGAGAGGAAGACAGGTGGGTGTGTTCTTGCTGCTACCTAGAAGCAATTTTCCCCTCCTTTGGAAATGAAAAAAAATCAAAATACCAGCTATTTCTGGAATGATTAAACTAATGAGTAGGGGGACACAGGTCCACTGCTTTACCAACAGCACTTTTCAAGCGACACAATCTCTGATGGGAAGTGTGTGTGGAGATGTATACACAGTACTTTTACCTCGTTATCAGTGCCTGAGAAAAATTGAACCCATCCATCACTTTTAATTAGTTTTTCAAGTAAAATCCCGTGTGTGTGTGTGTCTAAGTTAAATTCTAGTAGAGACAATATAGGTAAGAATTCGAAATCTAACCTAGTGAGACATCCTAAGCCAGAGTCAGCTTATAAAATGAAAGGGACAGTTTTATGAGACCAAGTCCTTTCTGAGACTGCAGAGGTGTAGAAAGGAGTCCCCTGAGGGGCTCTAACCTAGTTTATTCAGTGTCCCAAATCATGATCTGTGCTCCTAGGTGAAGATGTCCGCTCTGTCAGGAATAACAGTGCTGCCTAGTATCTGAACAGTACCATGTAGGAGGAAGGGGTAGATGTTTCTAGCACATCAGAAATTCCCATTTTATAGGCAGGGAGAAGTTATATATTATCAAGTTCACTCTGCTGCCAGGGCTTTGGTTTCTGGAGGCCAGACATCCAGCCAGAGGGAGCCAGTCGAGTGATAACGCCTATATTGGTTCATCCAGATTTATGCTGATGTTTGGATTCCAAATACCAAGTCATCCTAAATGTCCAGTCTATAGATGTTAGCAGCGGCATTTTCATAATCAAATGCCAAAGGGGTTTAGAAAGAAAAGGGTCGAAAAAGGTTTATGGGGCCTGGAGATACAGTAATAAGATTTAGAGAGAAAATTCAAGGCCCCAGAGACCAGCAAATTGCATTATCCTGGGCACATGCAGAGATATTTCCAGGGAGAGCTATGATTGGTGGTGTTGGTCTTTGTCTCAACCGGAGGCAGCAAACTCCCGCTTGGCAGCCAGTCTGTGCCTGGCACAGTCGGTCTCATCGTCTGCACTGTGTACACCCAACCTGACATTTCACTCTGTCTGACCTCGGCTTCTGGTCTTGGTCTCTGGTTCTACTTGACAGAGCAACAAAGAGGCAGCTTCCTGCCAGGGCCCTGCCCGCTGCCCTGGGCCCACTGGGGCTGGGGCTGGCCCAGGTGGTACCTGATGGTGCCTGGGCAGGTTTCACCCCATGAACATTCCCCCCACGATGACTCTGTGACAGTGCCCTGCCATTTGAGGTCAGCCCCAGAGAGGCACAGATACACTTAAACTTCAAGTGAATAGTCGGGTCACACTACTGAGAGTTGACAGGAAGAGAAACAATGTTTGGAAATGGCAAAACCCACAGCAAACTCAGTGGCAAACGGCACAGCACACAGCCCTGGCCTACCTTCCGAATGGTTGGGAATTTGCCATCGTAACGATAGAACCACCCAAAGGCTGTAACAACACAGGAACAAAGTGGTGAGACACGGTTCAGCCCAGCCAGTGTCCAGCCAGGACAGAGGCCAGGAGCTGGGTTCCCAAGGAACGAGTGGCTCTGTGAGACGAAGCGCAGCACAGCGGACCCACAGTAAAACTGCACCCTCTGTCTAACTCTCCACTCACCTGCCTCTCCTGGGTTGTATTGCAGACCCAAGACCACCTGAGAAAGACCCCGATTGCCAGGCCCTGGGCCCTGTCATCTGCCTCTGGCTTTAGAAGTCAGTGCCCAGAAAAATCAAAGAGAAAGCCGTCTGTGGGAGGCTGAGCTTTTGCAAATTATAGCCATAGCCCACAAACACAAAGCCCCGCTGAAAGAGTGAGGTTTTTCCCTGGTCCCTCCATCCAAGAAATGGCTCGAGACAAAAGGGAGCCTGGGTCTCTGCCTAGAATTGCTGTCAGCCCGAACAAAAGTCTTGTCTCATGGTCCGGGCCATATCCTCTACTTTCAGTATTGAAAGAGAAAGCAACAATTGGGGTCTGCTCTGGGAAGGACGACGCAGGCAGCAGTGGGCAGGAGATGGGCTTCCAGAAAAGCATATCCCTACCCAGGCCAGATAAGCAGGGCACCAGCCCCCTGCCCTCCTCAAGCAACAGCATGGCGGGGTGACACTTCAAACCTGAAGCTCCCGGGGCCAGTGGGGAAGGGTAAATAATTACCCACTTTGACCCACCTGGGTTCTAGAACAGAATCTTAAAAGCCCCTCGCTGGACTGAGCACCAACCCCTAGTTGCTGGATCTTGGGGAGATCTGGGGAGTCCTGGGGAGAGGCCAAAGGAAGAACTTGGCCTTGGGCAGTACTTAAATATTGGAGCCAGCGGTTCAGTTGTACTGGTGTGCACAGTTGACGTTTGAGCCTGGCCAGAAGTCCTGTTCTCAAGGTTTTGTGTGCAGTGCTTGGACCAAGCCGGGGCCGGGAGGAGCTTCACAGACTCCAGTGGACCCCACCATATGCTGGCCCCCCAGAACTGAGTGTCTGCAGGGCTGGCGGC